GTGGAGAGGCGGGTATAACAGAATTGTAACAGCAGTATATAAATAAGGAAAGGAAGCTAGGAGGGGATTATCAATTTGGGAATACAATCTCTCTCCCTCTCTCTCTCTCATTCAGGAGGCAGGCTCCCTCGAAAGAGTCCCTGAGTTAGGCAGTCCCTAACAGTTGCTGCCTCACTCCAGAAYTGCAGTGGCAGCCTRAAGATTTTTACCCAATACTCATCACCTTAGGGAGTTTGCCCTGCCCTTCTGTGTAAAGATCCCTARGTACCAGGTGCATGACCACCCCTTCAATGTTCMTYGCTCCTGTCCTCCATACCCTACTCGCCTCCTCTTCTGTAGGTAAAATGAATAGGTATTTTTGGTCATAGAGTTTCCTAACCTTTACTCCAAACTCTACTATCCATTTTTTAACTATCCACTACCGGGCCACCGTATACAAGATTTCCACTGTTCCCACCAAGCAGGCTTTCAGAAAGGTTCTCCTCTTCTCTTCCCCTGCCCCACTAACTTCAATATCGAAGCCTTTTCTTCCTACTTTCAACTTTGCCTCCCCTTCCTTTGTCCATTCTAGACCTCTAGCTTTCTTAGCAAACATTCCCAAGAGCATGTTCTCTCCTTCTCCTCTTCACTTTCCTCCTTCGCCCCATGTTCCTCCTGAAGGCTGTATTGTTGGTTTTTTGCCAAGGAATTTTTTATGCCCATACATGAATGGACAGGAGAAATTCTGACTTCTTCTTCCTCCTAGTAAGCTCAGCCTACCCCTTCTAACAAGTCCTCTACTCAGCATCTTGCCAGGGCCGCCAGACAGCATGTGACCAGTCACCAGTCGTCAGACATCATGTCACCAGTCAACAGTCCACCCTAAGGAATAAAAATTAAATGAGATGAAGGGCAATCTAGAGGTAAAGGGATCAAAAAGAAATTCCACTTAGTTAAGTGGGGGACAAGGTTTGCAAGGAAAAGAAAGAGGGAGGCCTGGGAATAAGAAGATTGAAGAAGTTCAATAAAGCTCTTTTGGGTAAAGGTTGTGGAGATTTGGTTTAGAGAGGGAGGCTCTTTGGAGGAGGGTGGTGACGGGTGATTGGATTCAAGTGGGATCCCAGAGAGGTGAAGACATCCGATA